AACTTCAAATTTATCTTTTAAAATATAGACACACGTCATTCGAGTGTGGTTATCAATCAAAATAAGAAATCACCGTTTCGGTATAGCTAGGAGTGCGAGAAACTCCCCATAAGTCATTTTAAATAAGAGAAAAAATAACAACAAATGTGTGATTGTGTGGTGGATCAAAAAAACAATGAAATTTAGCTAACTGACAGGTTTTACAATTGAATTTAAGAGAATTTTTATTAGTAAATATCAACAGATATAATTATTTTAGATAATGGAAACTAAGATGAACCAAACAGTGTAATAACATAATAAAGCATTCAGTAGACTAAGATAAACTGCAACTAGTAGGTGGAGTGTTTTTGTTCTTCGTTCTTTTCTCTTGAAAGAAGTAGAGCCCGCCTACTCGCTTAACAGTTCTAATCAGCCTCCCCGAACGACGACCCTGAAAGACACAAACATTAGAGGGGAAAAAATAACTCAATCAATATCATATGTCTAACTTACTGATAGATAAAAAGTTACACTTCAGCAAAAGTACATGTAACACGGATTCTAGAGTTATACTTGTTATTAAAACAACAAATCATTTATTATCAATGGAACTTTGGAACCCATCCGCAATTTTAACAGTATTTTTCTTTGAGCAAGGAAAGTATGTCGAGAAGGTTTAATAGCTTCCAGTCATGTAGTCATGGCACCTGAATTAATGATCCATGGACTATAAAAGACAAAATAAATGAGTGTCATAGGATTAATAACTTGACGAATGTGAGATGTTGACAGACAGGAAAAGAGCGAACTAGATCCAAACAGCTTGATTAAGTGTTTCATTTGATTTTTAAGAGAATTGGAGGATTATGAATTGTTCTAGGTAGAGCCTAGTTGTACCATGTTGGATTCAAATCCCGTAGTGAGACCCTTAATAACAGAAGATTTGGTTGAAGATTTGGATGCAAGTTTCCCGTGAAGCTTCCAACACTTATTATGAGTGTGGTTGGGTTTGTGATAGTAATTACAAGTGGGGTGCCAACCCGAGGTTGAACACTATTAGAATCCAAGGCGGATGCTTCGACTGACCGAGTGAAAGTACCAAGCATGACAAATCTTCGGCTCTCTTCGAGACGAATCTTAGTAAAAACAGCACAATTAAAAGAAAGAGGAACCCGGCCAAGAATACTGGCCCCGAAATTTGTCAAGATCTTTGTTGAGGTCTGCCAAAAATTGGAACATGCGGTCCTTTTCTATAATTTTCTAGAAGAGAGATAGGTAAGTCGAAGATTCTAAAGTGTAGTTATAATACAGATCGCATTTCATCCATAATGCAACCAGATAATTGTAGTATTGGGTCATGGTCTTAGATCCTTGTTCTGTTTCATTGATTTTTTTAGATGTCTCATAAAGTTGGCTAGAATTCCCTACATCTAAGTAAATATCACAGACTGTTGCCCAGAGGGCACTTGCGGAATTAACATATATGATCGGCCAATAAATTACTCCATAGAGTTGATCAGCCACGACATGACTAAAGAATTCTCTTCCCAAGCTTCATATGTTGGATCAGACTTTGGAGGTTCACAAAGCCCACCGGTGAGATGATCGAATCTCCCAGGCCCTTCGATAAACAAGGACACGGATGGAGACCATTGGAAAAAGTTATCATCGTTAGTTTATGGGTTCTAATTAAGAAGTTCATGTTATTTTCTTGTCTTTCATTCTGCAAAGAAACGGGGATTGAAATTAATTCATCGGTGGAATCAAGAACATCTTCTGATGACGGCAATGCTGGAAAAGCACGGCGTGACTCCAATTGAGCCAAACAAGATGTTAGTTCGTCGAGACATCGTAAAGTTCCAACTGCTGTAGGAATGGCCTCTGGAAGGGTTTCATGTTGGACTTGGTCGGCTGGAAGAAGGTTCCAAGAGAGGCTCCGACAAACCTGTGGGAGAGGAAGTCTCCTTTTCCACCAGGAAGTTTCCTTAACAGACGACGATTAGAACAATGAAGGATGTGGCCTGGAGCAGACAGCAGGATCTAGAGCAAGAAGTTTACGAAGCGGTCCTTAGCAGACAGCGGGTTCTGAAGCAAACGGCGGGATTAACTCCATGGAGTAAATCTGAACAAAAGGAGGGATCTAGAGCAGACAGCCTGGAGCAGGCCTTGTCGGCTGAGGAGTTGAACAGGTCAGTTGGCAGCAGCAAGGTTAAGACCACGGCTTTGATAGCATGTTAGAATAGAACCAGGGTAAATTTTATTGATGCAAAGAGGGGTATAAATACCCATTATAGGATCTACTAGCAAGAAAACAAATAAAAACATAATAAAGGGAAAAATAAAAGTAAATAAAAGCAAATCAAAGCAATTAATACAAAATTTTGCATATTAATATTATAATACTCTAACAAATTTCTTGATATGAAAATAGAGTATAAATACTCTTACATGAATCCTAGAATAGAAAAAACAAGAAAAAAAAGATGTAACACGTATATCATCAATTAATTAATTCATAATAATTAGTTGGAGATAAAGGACGGGAAATAAAGTAGGAAAGTCTAAAAATCAAATCCAAGGAAATAAATACAATACTCATAATTTTTAACAAAAATAAATTATTTCCTAATATAACTTCCAACACATAGGAAGAAAATTATGCATTATTAAGTATAAATTCACTATAGTTCATGCAACTTTGCTTGCTTTAAGGAAAGGAGTCATGAAAGAGCAACGCAAGTCTTATATTAAAGATGAAGTAATACAAATTCGCAAAATTCCCAAATCAATATACATGAAATAAAATATAGCACATTTTCCCATCGTGTAAGCTAAAGCCAGCAGTTATCGTTCTGAAGTATCATTTTTTAACAAACAATTCAGCAAGGGAAACTATTTACATGGGAAGATGGTCTTACTGAATTATTGTTGCAATTCTCCATGACAAGTGAAAGTGAATTTCTTTGAGTAGGCATCATACATATTAAAAACAATTAAAGAGTTAGCAGTTATTATGACTTTTTACGGCTTAAAATATCTATAAAAAAATATTGAGAATGAATGACAAACCTAAAAACCTTAAGATTTATAAAAATGAATGTATATAAAATAGGGAACTAGATATTGAAGACTTGTTCACGGATAGAGTAAACATAATTTGTGAATAAAAGCTTGTTTAATCACAGTGAACAATTGACGCGAGGCTAGTAGGAGACCCGAGACCGGTTCGATCATAGTGGCAGAGGGTCGGTTAGCCCTCCTCTAGAGCTAGGGTTGTCGTCCACTCCTAATAGCAGCAAGGATATTTTTGTCTGTTTGTTTTTATTAGGTTTAGGTCATCTATTGATAAATAAACATGTCGTTTATTGTATTATGAGTCTATGGTTCAATTGAGTTTTGTGAGGGACTGTGCCCCCTTTGCGGTTCTTGGATGGGGACAAGTCTGTACTCACAACATCAGGTGATAACAACTGCATTTCTCCGTTGTTGGTGATGGCATCCCAAGTCTCTTTCTTTCGTCAAGCCTTCAATTGGTGATTTTTACATCCCGATCGGTTGTGAGAGTAGAAAACTCTTGTAGCATGTATTTTTTATTTGATTAACGCATCTCATCTTTATTTTGGTTTTTTTTTCCCGTCTCGGATTATTTTCTTGCTTGTTCTTGTTGAATCTTCTTCAACCACCCTACTCCGATATCATTTTGCATCAGATCTAGCCAAACCTTGATTTCATCCTATGGTTACCAAAATCCTCCCAAACTTAAATCCACCAAACCATAACAAGATTCTGACCTAACCCTTAATCTCCTTTGCTGATTTTTAAAATCAACAGCCCTAAATAACTTTTCTACTCTATATTAGTTTCATACACCTTCTTTCACCTCCCAAACCCAAACCCACAAAACCATAGCAAAATATTTACCTAACTTTAATTCTCCATTGCTTATTTCAAAATCAGCAATCCTAAATAACTTTTGCACCAAAAATCCGTCTCATACACCACCTTACCTAAACTCTAGCCAAGCCCCCAAGAATAAAATGGAAGTCAAAGGCCTCCAATTCCGAGAGGTTACAGCAACTCTGCCGCCTTCAACGTGGCCGACCTGATGATATACCAAGAGGAGTCAAAAGCATGGACTGATGAGGTCAAAAGCGTTGACAGATGAGGTCAAAAGCTCCACCAACCATGGTAGATTGACGCGGAGCGGGGAGGGGCCCCAGACTGGTTCGGTCCAAGTGGAGGAGGGTAGGTTGGCCCCCTATTTAGGGCTATGGTTGTCACCTACTCCTAATAGCAGCAAAGATATTTTTGTCAGTTTACTTTTATTAGATTTAGGTCATTTATTGATTATAAATATGTAAATGTTTATTGCATTAGAGGACTTTGGTTCATTTGAGTTTTGTGAGGCTTGTGTTTCATTTGCAGTTCTCGGACGGGGAGGAGTCTATATCCACGGTGTTAGGTGGTCACAATTGGACCCCTCTGTTGTTAGCAGTGACTTCTCGGGTCTCCTTCATAGATCCTTCGGACGGTGATTTTTGTATCATCATCAGCTAAGAGATTAGGAACCTTTTGCATCGTGTATCTTTTATTTGATTAGTGAATCTAGTTATTTTTTTCCTGCCTTAGATTACTTTCTTGGTCGTTCTTGTTGAATTTCGACCGACAATAGCATTTCAGACTAATGACACATCTTTAATAGCAAAGGAACAAGTTTAAAACTATAATTATCTATCAAATAAAGAGCCAAAATAGTCCTCCGACTATTTATATGGGGTCATTTTACTTCCAAAATTTATAAATGTGTTAAATTCAATCTATAATTTTAAATGGGGGTTGAAATAATCCTCCATAGGGGCTATTTCAGCCCATATTAAAATAATATCGGGACTAAATTGATGCTTTTATTGACTCTCGGGCTAAAATGATCCGATGTAAACAGTCAGGGGACAATTTTAGTACATCACTCATTATCTAGTAAAAGGATTCAAACTTTAAGAAGAAGAAGCAAAGCGCACCTGATGGTCTCCAAAGGAGCCAAAACAGCTTTAGTCATGGCACCAGCTAATGCACCGCTGAGGAACTCTCCTACTTCTCTACTTCTAACAAAATTCTGCAACAAAAAATAAATACATGATGAATTATTAGGAGGAAAAAACAATTCTCAGCAGTGAATACTTGCATTTGACAATTCTGAACAAAAAAACGAGTCATTTTAAGCTTTTGAAGTTTGGCTGACATTTGTTCTTTCAATCAGTCATTTGCATTATTTGGGATTAGGGGGAAGTGGAATGTGGAGTTGAGGGTTAAGGGTGGAACAGTATCTTGCAGCCAAAAGAAAGAGAACCAAAGGAAACTGTCCCTGCCATGAAGAACTATATGTAGACTAATAACATACAAAGCCTCCATTTGCCAGATTATCCATCCAATTAATAACGAAATATTTGTTCCGAACCAGTTCCCATGATATTCATTGGACAACAATAGAGAACATGTTCATAGAATCGTTATAAGAAGAAGAAGACGATTAAACACGAACCCTCAGGACTAGGCCAACGTCAGGCAGCCGCAGTTGGACAGCCGCGGGGGAAGCAGCGGCACCCTTGACGACCTCTATCTCTTTGCTCATCGCCATCTCCTCCCCTAATGCATCATCCTGCACCCAGAACACCTTTCGCTTCGACGAATCTGGTTCAAACCCCATGTATCAGCTATCCCAATTTCTATTTTTAGAAACAATCACATGATTCTGACACAGAATGATCAGAAACATGAAGAAAGCTCAAATACAACATGACAATATTTGGCATTTTCGTTGTTTCTTTCTTGCTTGGTAAAAGTATTGCACCTTCTTCAACCCTTCAAGATAGTCACGACTCTCCGCGTCCTCTCTCTCTCTCCTATATTATATAACAAAGCATATATTTGTCGCTTCCTCTGGCGCGCTTGTCCTGCCCTTCTGGGTCCTCGCCTTCAAGTGGGAATTTTGAACGCAGAAATCCTCTGCAAGTGCCATTAGAAGGGGACCGACAGGAAGATTCGTGACATTCGTCCCCGATGGAGCGAACCCTAAAGCAACCTCTTTCATGGCCTCCAGTTTGACCTTCCCTGTTGCCCTCGTACAGCGGATTACAACACTGCCCTACAATCAATTCAACTTCTCTACATTAACTACAGTGATATGAGCTGGACTTTATTTATTTATGAAAGACAATAGCCTTATCTACTTTGTTGAATAAAGTTAAATTTTAATATTATTTTTTGTTTAGGTATTTACATGTATTTCATTTAACTCCTATGTATTTATATATCTAACATTTTAACTTATTTATATATCTAACATTTTAACTTTGCATGTTATATTTATACCACATAAAATTTTTAAATCATTAGTGTTGTAATTTGTGAATGAACAAATGTACTTAGTGAACAGTTCAAAATCAACTAGATTAATATTTGATCATATTTGTGAAAATAATAATTGTTAAATCCAATTTTTTCCTTTGAGGCATGCCCAATGATCGGAATGGTAGGGATCTTGAGAGAGAAAAAAAAAGAGACTTAAAAGTGACAACAAATAAAATGATACGAATAAACTTTTCTCGTAAAGGCTACCTAGGGTACCACTAGGCTCTTTGTCCCCTTTTATATATCAAAAATAGGAGTTACATTATAAGAAGAGAGAGTTCTCCCTACATGAGTGGTTGGTCAGAGATAAATTTTCGTCATCTCTCACAAATCTCGATGTATTGCACGGGTCTGGAGGTAGTTTTTTGAATGAGAAATGTTCAAATTTCGATTAAAAGTGATCAAGAACTCCAGTTTCAACCAACTTATATTCAAACTGACTGGCTCGACAAAACGGACCCAACAGTATAAATATCAACCCAATTCGAGTTGAGGCAATCCCACATCAAGCCATTTAACTGTTTCTGAAAACTTTTCAAACATAATTGCAAGGTCAAACAAATTTCAAATATAAAATGCTTAAAGTTAAATCAAGTTTCTCATCGAGACAAATGTAACAAGCCCAACATAGCTAAATTTCAACATCATTAAGCAACCAAATGTCCATCAAACATCGTTCAATCAAAGGGATCTCTCTGGACAGTCCGATCAAGAGTGTTTTAGATTTATGTCTAAATTGTAATTTGGACTCTATAAATAGAGTCTCAAACCCCTTATGAAAGGGAACCTGGACCCGAGAGCACTCATGTTCAAAGTCTGCAGAAGAGAGAGTTGCGACCCTGCATTATGCATTATAGATCCGACCAACTCCGCTTGCTACTGCCTCCTCTGCCCTTCTTCATCGTTGCTTCTTCTAGTAGTCTCCTCAAATTCCAACTGCCATCGTCACCCCCTCCGCCTCAAGCCACCGCTCCATTTGACCAACTCTGACGGTCGCCACAGCTGCTTTTGGTTGCCTCCTCTTTTAGTTGACGCATTTTCTGGTTGATGCCGCTTCTATTGGTTGTCACTTGTGTCAGTCGCTGCCACCGCCTCGAACCACTGCCTCTTCCAACAACCGTCGCCTCCTTCGATTAACTTCGACCACCACCGCTGCCTCTAGTCACCTTCGACCATCGGCACCTCTGGCCAACTCCTGTGCAATGATACACCACGTTGACGGTGTAATTGTGTGCTCTAAATACAATGTAACGACCCCTCCCGAAGATTATGTAACAAAGCACCCCCAATAAGATGACTTTCTTCAGAGTCCTAAAACTCCCTAGTTACAACTCCCAACTTTGATCCATGTAGCCTACAAACGTTGCCTCCTCACACTATTACAACCTACATGACCAATAATGACCTAGGAGATAACCAGCTCCTACAACTCTTGACTCTGACCCCCGTAGCCTATGAGCATAGTAACAACTCACCACTATAGGCTATGCGACCAATAATGACCTACATTATCCCAACTTTTGCAACTCCCGATTTCAGCCTCAACGACCTACGAACGTCGTCACAGCTCACCACTACCATCTATGTGACCAACAACGACCTATGTGGTCCTCGACTCCTACACCTGAATCCGGCCCCCATGGCCTACGGCGTCATCACAGCTCACCACTACGTCATATGTGGCCAACAACGACTCACGCAGACCCCTATTCCTGTAACTCCCGACTGGCCCCCGTGGCCTTCAGATGTCGTCACAGCTCACTAATGTGGCTTATGTGACCAACAATGGTCTATGTGGTCCTCAGCTTCTACGGCTTCCGATTCCAACCCCCGTGGTATATGAACGTCGTCATAATTCACCACTACGACCTATGTGACCAAAAACAATCTATGTGGTTCCTAGCTTGTGTAACTCCATCCTTTGGACCCCGCGACCTACGAATGTCATCACAACTCATCACTATGGCCTACATGGCCAACTACCGCCTACAAGGTTCATACCTCGTGCAACTCCTAACTTCAACCCCCGCGGCTTACGGACATTGTTACAACTCGTCATTACGGCCTACGCGGTTCATAGCTCGTACCACTTTTAAATTCGGTCCTCGTGGCTTACAAACATTATCACAGTTTACCACAATAATTCATGCAACTAACTACAACCAACGTAGCTTAGAACTCCTCCAATTTTCTATTACTACCTCAATGATCAACTGACGCTTTTGAAATGACCATCTGCAGCTCACATGAGCAAGTATTATCATGAAGACCGATTATTGTGTATAAGCCAAAATTGGTGTTACGACCACCATCTATAATATTTACAACACACTATTGTCTCAATGACAACCAACTACGACCCTTGTAGCCTACTTTCATCAAGAATGACAATTCATTATAACTAGACTGCGACTACGATCGACAAATAACTATTGTACATTTACAATGACTTTCTTTTAACTTCATCTTCCCTAATTTAGGAGAAGTGTGAATCCATGTACACAAAATTACACAGTGAATCATTTTAACTCGGCAAGGCCCTGTAGGTTTTTTTTTCTTTTTTAGGATTTTCAGCTTAAAAATTTTTGGTGTAGTTATTGGTTGCTTACTTCTATCTGTGTGTGTGTTGGATTTTTGTGCAATACTATATAACTCATTACTAGGCTGTCGTGAATTTTCTAGCACGCATCAATGAGAAAAGTCAAGAGAGAATAGTCTCTTTTTTACACGTTATGGGCTTCCTATTCATAGTAGAAAATAAAGCCAAGTATAAAATTACATGTTTGGTATACTTTAATGGAAAAGTTACTGATTATTATTATATTATTATCAATACCCTGGTTTAATAGGGATGCTATGGGTATTTATGACGTCTTTTATGGTTTTTGCTTCAATATGGGAGTTGCATGTCATTAATGAGCCTTTTTATATTCATAATTTATTTTTTGCACATTTTTGCCCTTTATCTTTTGATCTGAGCTGTTGGCTTGTCTCGAGAATTGTGCAGATCATTTTTTTTTGTACATATTAAGTTTCACAGTTTTTTTGTTCCTTAATAGCGACATCTGCGTATTGTATAACAGAACTTAAAAGAAAAAAATGCAATAACATGACTCACTAATGATGCTCCCTGTTTAGGCATTTTTCGTGCTCTGTTACGACATCTTTTGAGCTATATTGATGGCTCGGAAGCATTTTTCTATGAATCAACACTTTGCTCAGTGTTGTATTGACTGCTTGTCGGTGTTGACTAGCGACCTGGCTATGGGGGAAATCGTCGGTCGTGATATCATCCAGCTCAAGTCTTAGCCTTTGTCCATCTTATTTTATAAGTCATACCGTCTTTTGATCTCTTATCTTGGAGTCTTTTGTTTTCTCGTCCTTTGGGGATTTTTTTTTACTCGCCCCAGAGAGGCGTTTTTATTTGTTTGACCTATCGGAGAGCCTTTTGTTTGCTCGCCAATAAGAGATTTTTTTTTTCTTTTGCTCGCCATAGGAGGGAGTTTTTTGTTTGTTCACTGCGAATGAGAATCTTTTGCTTGCTCCCCTCAATGAGTTTTTTGTTTGTTCATCTGCGTATTGCGAATGAGAATCTTGAGAATCTTTTGCTTGCTCCCCTCAATGAGTTTTTCTTTTTTTTTCACCCCCCTAAGCGCAATTTTTTGTTTGCTAGCTCTGGAAGGGGGCCATTTGTTTGTTCGTCCCCGACTGAGTCTATTTTTTATTTTTGGCTAGCACCAAAGGGGAGTTTTTTGTTTGCTCGTCCTTTAAGAAAGTCTTTTGGCTTTAACGTCTTGTTCACCCACTTAAAACTGAATACATATCAAATTTTTTATTTTGCTTCAAAAATAAATATTCATTCAAAATTTTAAATTATTTAATTAAGATAAGCAAGTTGAGTACAAATCAAATATGATCATTAAAACAATTAACCATGCAAATATGAACATACATTGAAAGTTCATCTCAAGCTCAAACAAAATATAAAAAAAATTTATAATTCGACCAAATTCAACAATTAATACTTGACTTGACTTGACTCAGATCGAGTGCAGTCCTACATATCATGTAAAAAATCTCATTATTTTTATACTTAAGAAATGAAATATTTTTCATGTACCTATAACTGACATGCAAGTAAAAGATTAAAGTTTAGATGTTAGATGCATTAATACATAAAATTTTAAATCTTTTTATTTTTTTAATTAATTATTAATTTATTTTAAAGATATTTTCTTATTGCAATGTTAATGATATTTTCACATATCAATTTGATATTAGCACAAAATGGACGGCAGATAAAACATCGATGTCTTATATTTAAATTTGATCCAATCATCGATTGATTGTTGATATTGGAGTCTAACTTAAATGAACAGATTGATAAATCAACAGATGTTTAGATAATAAATAATTAAAATTAAATGATTATATATATGATTATACATATATATATAT